TCTATATATTTTTATTAAATTTGTTATAGTTATTTATAATATATGTAGCATAAAAATTATAATTAATGTAATATGATTATATATGTAATTTTTATTATAAACTATCTTAATTTAACTATATAAACTAATTTCATTAATTTACATAGATTAGTAGTTTGTGCTTATAAAAAAAAAGGATGGATGGTGTAAAAGGATAAAATTCTGATAACAACAAAGTGATTAATATTATAAAAAAAGCACACTGATCCGAATCAAATTGTCCCTTTATCAGGATCCTTTAATTTTTAGACGGTTATTGTATATTTAACACACGGACCGTACATAAAACTCATCCATGTTTTTAGAAATAATGTATGCTACAATAACGATTCAAGGATGAATATGACGGTGACAAATTAATGTATGCTACAATAACTATAAGAGGACAACGATGATGGTGACAAATTAAATGCTGGGACACAAACAATTGATGAAACTTCGCACCATTGCCATAATCACGTGGTTGTCGTGGGATCGTAAATAATTGGTGGAACGTTTTCATTTTTGTTGAAACAACGTAGTACTTAATTCACTCAAATTCGATAAATTCGGATTCAAATAGAGTGATCTGGGGCGCCAGATCACCATTGCCGACAGCAAAAGGAGAGAAATACTATAGCTATTCGGGAGAATTTGAGGGACCTAATTGGATGTTTTACACATTTTTATTCTTTTTCTTATACTATATACATATATACACCAGTTTATTTATTTTTATTATTATCATTTATTAACTTAATTGTATAATTTAATTAACCAAAATTTTTATTAAATATTACTAAAACTTATTATGTTTATTAATCCATCAAAATTTAAATTTGTAATATTACTTCATGATCAGTATTTTAACATTTATTTATTATTTATTATTTATTTTTATCTTCACCATTATCATAAAAATTTTAAAATTTATTCTAAATTTCATAAATTCGGGTTATTACAATTTTGGTGAACTAATTTTCAATAGGAATCAATTAAAGAAAAAATTTGTATGATTTCTTTTTAATAAATTAATTTTTATAAATTAAAATGTAACATTTTCAAAGTGCATGTGCTAAAATGATAATTTTATGAATAAAAAGTGTGAAAGAGAACCCCAACCTGGAATGTGGTAGGTGAGGCAGTAAGCAGAAGGTTGTAATTGATAGGGTGCATTTTAGGGGGTATTTTGGGCATTAATGCACGTTTATTTGACTAAATATTTTCAGTAATTGGAGGATTCTATTGATTTTTTGTTTTGGTGCCAATTGCAGGACTGGATGCTGAAAAGTGCTTAAAATTGAAATTCAGAGGATTTGTCATACGTGGGGCCCTTTTGAGAAGTTGAAGAAATTTAATTGTAATAGACTCTATTTTATTTTATTTTAGAAAGTCTCGTTTTAATTTGTAAAATATCAATTTTCGATATGGGGGAAATCCCCTCCTTGAAGTTCGGATGGCCAAAACAGAAAGGGGAAGGATTAGACTCAAGTAGGGCAGCCTGGCTGAGGGGGAAAAAACGGACGTTCTGCCTGGCTAGGTCTTGTTTGGATTGCTTGTTTCCGTCAGAAAATATTATCATTTTTTGTGATCATATTTCTCTATCACCTTTTTTTCTCACATATATCAAATCGCTACAATAATTTTTTCATGAAAAATGACGAAAAATACAATCCAAACAAACCGTTTTTCTCTCTTCCGTTTTCTGCCTTTGAATTGTGCGGCCATACCTTGGAAAACAATCAGGAGACAAAAAGCCTCCATTGTTGACTTTGCAATTAGCTTTTTCAATGAGTATTGCTTGACTTGAGTAAGAAAGCAATTGGAAAACCTTTTCTCCCGTGAGTTTTTGGTGAGCAATTAGGAGGAGCTGCAATTGTGGACCTTTGGCAATACTTTTCACTCTGGCTTTGACCGATTGAATTGAAAGGGCATGCTCTCTGTACGATTAGCTTGGGAAGACAATTGAAAGCAACGATAATCAATTGTCCCCTTTTCTTTCTGTGATCATTTTCTCTTTTTTATTTTTTTTACATACCTCAAAGAATTATAAATTAAAAAAAACTCATAAGTTAAATTTATATATTTTTTATTTTATAAATGCTCATTATTGATATTCAAATAAATAAATTTAAAAAAAAATTTAAGTGTGCTAGTACCTAATATTTAAAAATACTATTTTAAAATTCTAAATATTACTTTTAGTTTTGTTGCTTTAAATGAATATGCTTTGTACATAAAATTCTAAATTAATTAGATTTTTATAAACCACTAATTTTATAAATATTGAAGATTTAGGACTTCAGAAAAGCAGGATTTCAAAAGTTTAATTCAGATGGGCCGATTTCAATAAATAAAATGTACTAATTGGACAATAATTTATCATGGATGGAAAGCCAAATGAGTCTAGTTTATTAAAAAATTATTATTTTAATTTAGGAGCTGTAAAAGTGGAGATTCTAATTTTTGAATCAATTATGCTCAAACTGGTCAAAGAATGATAGTTCAGATAGGGTGAATTAAAAATGATGTTGTAAATTCTAGAAATTGAATTGGAATAATTCCTTTTATAAGATGGTAGCTAAAGAAGTTTATTTTCAAATAAAAAAATGGTGCATCAAAATAAGTTTTCTAAGAGGACATAATATAGATTTACTGCAGTTCGCTCCAACTGAAAGTCAAAGGAACAACATGTATTTTTATTTATTTTCTGTAGAAATATATACTAAATTTCAAATAACAAGCCTTATATTTATTTTTGAAAAGCTATAGATGTCTAGTTTGAAATAAAAATAATAATCACTATATTTCAATTAGTACATATGGAGATACTGAATTTTAAAGGAGGTATACCACTTATGTCAAATATGCTAGCAGCTTTGAAGAAATAGAGCATTACCAATCAAGTTTGAATCTGATGATCATTAGCAACAGTTTCTTCTGATTCTTGGCTATAAAAGGAGCTCTTTGGGACATCAACAAGCAGAGAAGAGCATTTAAAAAGATCCATAATCAAATTCTTTAATAATATTTGAGTTGTTATAGTATTAGTATTGTTATTTTGAATAAAATTTCTCAACTCTCTTGGTATTTGTTTAACTCTTTCTTTATCATTTTCTAGTTCACTCTTTTGATTTTAAATTTCAGTTATAATCTCATTAAAAATAAGGTAGGCTTCTTCTTTATAATCTTTCTTAAGTATTTGGGTTGTATGTGAGCCATCAAAACACAATGAAAGGTTTAAATATGAACCTTAAAAACATTTGAGATTTGGGTTTGAGTGTGAGCCTTGAGAACACACTTAGGTAGTTTTACGTTTGACCTTTAACCTTGAAAAAGATTATAGAGTCGTATTGAAAGATTGATTTTAGAGAAAAATCCCAGGAGAATACTTGGGGAGTGGATGTAAGCAAGGAATTGGCCAAATCACTATAAATTTTTGTGTGTTTTGTTTGTTTGATTTTATTTTTCTTATTTCACATTCAATTTGAAATCAACTTATTTACCCCCATCTAGTTTGCTTTTGAGACTTCACTTAATATCGCCCATGTACCTAAAAAGGTGATAATATTAAAATGATTTTTCCAGTGACTATTTAAAGGGAGTAATAGATAACTGTTAAATAAATGATAACTGCTTAAAATTTGTTTTAATTATTAGCATTTTAAATTCAAGTTTTAGACATATTTGCATCAAAATATAATAAGAAGAATTTTGCTATTATTACACGATTTTATCTGACTTAGCGCTTAATAAATTTTGAAAATTGGATTATTTTAAAAGGTAATAAATATAAATAAATAAATAATGGCTTAAGAAGTGAGCTTAATTTGAAAGAATCTGATAATATATTGCTGGTATTATATAAAGAATTATAGCAATATCAAATAGAAGTATATTATTCTGGGTGGTGGCTAAGCATCAGAACGACCCATCATTATTTTAAACATCAACAACAATATGTTTAAAACAAGTTTTTTTGCATATAATTTTCACCTCCATAAATTTATTTTTGGCAATAAAAATATTGAAATTTAAAGAATCTTTTAATCAAATCAAATGGGATTTTGGATTATTATTATTATAAAAATGTGAATATCAAGGATAAGGATTAAACGCTAAATGTTAAAACAAAAATTGTAGGAGGGCACAAATTTCTAAACATTTATATATACGCTTCCTGATTTACAATATGCGTTGTTGAATACATATGATTCTAAATTTTAGAAAAATATAAATTAAATAATCTAAATTATCCTTCATTATCATAAATATTTTTATAAATAATTTTATCTTTCTTCATTAATATAGAGATGAAATTGAAAAAATATTTCCTAATTTCATAAAGCAATAAAAAAATAAAATTTTAATGTTTATGAAAAGCAACAAATATTATGAAGGGGAGGAATTTTATAATTTACAGCTTCATAGTAGATTGCACTTTTGAAAAGAACATAGAATTATTTAGTGTGGAACATGTGGCTCATTTTCTTTAGAAAAAAAATCAGCGATAGAAAAATAAAAAATGGAGTCTACAAATTGGAAAATTTTGAATGCTAAAAACTAGAAGGACGGGTACTCATTTCTCGTAATAGCTAGGCTGATTGGAACTCAATTATTCAGAAAACGATGAAAAGGATAAGAACAATAATTGCTATCATGAATCAGAACACGTGCTTGCCTGGACCGCGGTCCAGTGGACCTCCAGGCACAGCTTGATCCACCGGACCGGCCGCGGTCCAGGCAAGCAGTTCTCATCCATGGATAACAATTAAATTATGAAACTGATGATTCACGTGCTTTTTTTTTACATATTATTGTAACTGAGGAAGTTTGTATTCGAAATTGTGGTATCAACTTCATGCAAATCTTCATTATAAATAAGTGGGTGATCTGAAGATGTTTCAACCTGCTCACTGATATCTTTTCTTTCGTAGTCTGTTTTCTATTGCTATACTCAACACATCCATCCTTCTAAGCAAATGGTATATTACTTATACGACATCAATATCAGTATATATGTTGCTATGCATTATTTGTTGGTTATAATAACTACTAGTTTTCTGTTTCTCAGGGTCTGTGGCAGTGGTACCATCATTTTCGTTTGGACCGTGGGGGGTCCCGGTGGCAGTCCTTGGAGTTACATAGCCACCGATGGGATAAAGGAGATAACCCTGGATGTAGGGAGAAATATCAGGGCCATTTCATTTGCAGATGCTAAGGGCTTTATTTCTGGCACATTCGGTGGCAACAACCCTAACAATATTGGTAAAGAGGAAAAGGTAAACTAAACATATATATGTTTTTGTGGAAGCATTCCTCAGAGAAATTTTTAGCGCAATCCTAACATATATATAGCATATCAGATCGAGTTAATGTTTCACATATATAAATATATTTACTCACTTTAATTTTAGTTAAATTATTCAAATCAAAAAATTAATAATATGTTTTTGCACTGCATGCATTCGTAGATTACCATCCAATGGCCTTCGGAGTATTTGACGTCTATAACAGGAACCTATGGAGATTTTAATGGACTTCTGGTTATCTACTCCTTATCGTTCGTCACCAATCAGAAAGCATATGGACCTTTTGGGAGCCCCAGCAGTGGTCAGGCTTTCTCCAGCCCCCCGGATGGTAATGTTATTGTTGGATTCCATGGAAGATCTGGCTGGTACATTGATGCTATTGGTATATATGTGCAACCGGTAAGAAATATGTAGGACCTCATCTCTTTCGTTCCATATTAGAAAGGAAAAATGACATCTTCGCTCGGCCCTGCTAACATATATTTTAGTAAGTTGAAATTAATAATTACCTGTATCTTCCCACCACTTTTAATCAAATAAATTAGGGGCTGGCATCCCCACCCCGTGGACGGGGTTTCGCCAAAAAAAAAAAAGTTAAAATTAATAAAAATATTACACTAGAAAATTGTGCTTTCATATTATTGGCCTGAATAAATTATTAATAAAAAATTAATAAATTCTGTAAATTTTGGGTAAAGAAATATTTGAGTCTTTATATTTTTAAAATTAATATTTATAGTTTTTATTGTTTACTAATATTAAACAATTTAATTTTTCTGTTTGTCTTTTCTTAAATTAACATATTATCTGATGGTTAAGGAATGATAAGTTAGGAATCAAATGTTCAACAAAATTAAATTAAAAGAACTAAAATATAATTATTATAAAATTTAAGGATTAAAATATTATATAATCTTAGTGATTTTAATATTAAGATTCGGAGTCTAGTGATAGCATTTTTAAAATTAAATGAATTTAAATATTTTTTTAGTCTAATTATTTCATATTTATAATATTAATATTTTTTTATTTTATTTATGCTTTTATTTTTGCTACATACATTCATGGAAGACAAAATAAGTCATGTGTCACGATTAATGATAACCTACGAGGTAGCCTATCATCGGCATGCTTAGGGAAAAAATGAGAAGCATGCAAGAACGTACATCCTTCTAGATTCGCATAGCTGTGTATGCACAAGCAATCTACATGCATTATAACAACAGATAGATAAGTTAAATTATCACTCTACAAATTATAAAACATATTTTTATAAAAAAAACTTATAATTGGTTTATAGGTTAAAAGCATATATTAGTATAGAACTATTAAGAAGCATTTTTATATAAAAATTTTTCATAATTTAAGATAATTACATCACATTTTTTTTGTAAAAATTAATCTAACAGTTTTCATAATTAATATATATATATATATATATATATATAATATAATCTAGAGGACTAAAAGAGACTATTTAAAAGCATGTCACATGGTTTAAATATGATTTTATTTGATTTTTAAATTTTTTTAACTTTTATATTTTTTCTAGAGATTTTATAAAATTAGTAAAAGTTAAAAGTTAAAGAAATATAAGTTACCAAATTATTTCAATTACATTTTTATTTTTATATTTTCTCACAATTATATTTTCTCTTGATTTTTTCTATAAAAATATTCAAAATCAAAGTAATAATAATAAAATTATTATTAAATTGAATGTGAATATCAAAATTATTACACCATTAAGTTAAAAATAATATTTTTTTATAAACAATAATTCAAACTGAATTACAATTAATATGATATTATAGCTTTTGTTATTATAACATATTATTATATTATTAATATTACAACTAAAGTTAATAATATATCAAATTCAATTTATTTAAAATAAATTTAAAAATAAGTTTGCATACTATGGCTAGTGTATGACTAGTTTAAGATAATTACATCACATATTTTTTTAAAAAATTAATCTAAAATAATAATATATGTAAATATTAATTTTAAAAAGAGTTATTTTATAAATAAAATAATTAAAAATTAGTTTGTAATAACATGACTCTCTGATTAGGGTAGATAATTTATTAAGATGATAAAAGATACTGTACATGAGCTTACCGTTTAACACATTTTATGATTTTATTTAATTAAAAAAACTAGCAAAATTTCTCTATATTTTAGTTATTTTATAATTAAGATTTGAATGCATTTAAGTTTACGCATTAAATAAAATAACTAAAATAATTATTTAAAAATTTGGGATATTACCACTATATATTATAAGAATAATGTTAATTGGTTATATTTTTTAAATTTGCATTTTATCCTTCTTAATCCAAATTATACACTTTTAGGTATTTTTATTTAAAATCTTATTGATCAAAAGTACATTTTAAAATATTTCTCTTTATTGTAATTATATCCTTACTGATTTTAAATTATAAAATTATAATAAAAATAAATTAGTATATATTATCAAGACTCTATAATATAATAATTCTCTCAATTGAATACACAACATAAAACTGATGATTCAGGTGCTCAATACAAATATTATTATAAGTAACTGAGGAAGTTGTATTCGAAATTGTGGTATCAACTTCATGCAAATCTTCTCCGTTGTACTCAGGTGCTTACTGTTGTCTTTTCATAGTCTGTTTCCTGTTTCTCAGGCACCAACAACTTCGTTGGGACCGTGGGGGGGTCCCGTCGGAAATCCTTGGAGTTACATACCCACCGATGGGATAAAGGAGATAATCATGGATGTAGGAAGAAATATCAGGGCCATTTCATTTGCAGATGCTAACGGCTTTATTTCTGGCAAATTCGGTGGCAAAGACCCTAACAATATTGGTAAAGAGGAAAAGGTAAACTAAACATATATATTTTTCTACGTAAGCATTCTTCATCGAAATTTTTAGCACAATCCTATCATATATACAGCATATCAGATCGAGTGAATGTTTCACATATATAAATATATTTACTCACTTTAATTTTAATTTATTCAAATAAAAAAATTAATAATATGTTCTTGCACTGCATGCATGCGTAGATTACCATCCAATGGCCTTCGGAGTATTTGACGTCTATAAAAGGAACCTTTGGAAATTTTAATGGAGATGTGGTTATCTACTCCTTATCGTTCATCACCAATAACAAACATATGGACCTTTCGGGAGCGCCAACAGTGGTCAGGCTTTCACTGCTAGTCCCCCAGCCGGTAATGTTGTTGTTGTATTCCATGGAATGTCTGGCTGGTTCATTGATGCTCTTGGTATATATGTGCGACCGGTAAGAAATATATAGAACCTCATCTCTTTCGCTCCATATAGAAAGGAAAATGAAATCTTCCCTCGGCCCAACTAACATATATTTTAATAAGTTAAAAATTAATAAAAATATTATATTAGAAAATTGTGCTTTAATAGTATTAGTCTGAATAAATTATTAATAAAAAATAATAAATTTTGTATATTGCGGGTAAAGAAATATTTGAGTCTTTATATTTTTAAAAATAATATTAATAGTTTTTATTGTTTACTAATATTAAACAATTTAATTTTTCTATTTTTTTCTTAAATTAACATGTTGTATAAAAATAATATTTATAGTTTTAATTGTTTACTAATATTAAACAATTTAATTTTTCTGTTTGTCTTTTCTTAAATTAACTTATTCAAATACATATGTTAAACCCGTAAATTATGCCTCATTGACTTAAAAAGGAAAAAAAATGCTTAACTATTGATTTCTTTGATTTGAATGTTTTAGAGGGTCTAGGCAATCTGAAGGTTCGAAGTTGACTTGCTATGCAAGCCTTCATGAAGGTACATTTTTTCCCTCAGGGTTGTGCTCTTTTTTTCTTATCAAAGATTTTCCAATGAAGGAGCAAAAATTTCCTTTTAGAAAGAAGAAGGAAATATTAAATATTAGTACTATATGGTACTCGATGGATATTAATATTATGATTGAGAAATGATCTTTGTTTATTTTACTTATTTATTTATTTATTTTGATTTGCAGGTTATAAACAATCAGATGATGGAAATAAATTCGAAATTAAAACTACTTTTGTGGGTTTAAGGCAAAAGTAATTGTTGTATTACTTAAATAAAGCACTTTTGCGGGTTATGGCAAAAGTAATTGTCGTGTTACGTATTTGAAGACATCATCTGTTGTTCTAAGTGTGTGAAGTTGTATTCTCGTTTAATTTAAGTAATAAATTAAATTTTTGTTGTCCAAATTAGTTAATGTTGCATTCTCATTTTATCTTATATTACTTTCTTTATTCTAAAAAATAGTTAGTCCACTTTCTCTTTTTTCGCATTTCAAAAAGATAGTCTAATTTCTTTTTCGTAGTGTTAGTTCATATATTAAAAAAATATATATATCTCTACTAATTTAAAAAAATGCAATTAATATAAATCGGTATAAATGAATTGTTTTAATTAGGTTTAAACATTTAACAGGGATATTTATGTCAAACATATAATTATAGCTAACTTTAGCTATTTTTCTTAATTTCTACATAAAATCAAAATGAATTATTTTTTTTGGGACGGAGGAAGAGTATCATTTAATATGTTAATTGTGTGATTGGTCACAAATTTCCATTTGCCTCAAACAAATCACAAATTGATAGAGACTTTGGGACAGATACAAGTATTAAAAAAATTTACTCCCTCAATAGTTATAGAAATTTTTTCTATTTTGGGCGTTCCATTATATAAAAAAATATTTCTATTTTAAGTCGTATTTAATATACGTACCATTATTTAGTTAATTGGTAAATATATCATTATTTATTTTTATAGAAATTATCAATGAAAAATGACTTTTGTTAACAATAGTTGACTATTCATTAAATATGCTTAAAATTTCAACAAAAAAAAAGTTGCTTTTACAACAAATATAATTAGGGTTAATTACATTTACCTCCCTTGAGATTTGACCATATTACCAATCAATCCCTATAATTTATCCAAATAACGGTCTCACCCTTTGAATGATCAAACATTTAACAAAAACCCCCCTTAATGCCGAAAATGCCCTTTTTGAGGCCATATTGCATTAAAAAAAGAACATATTTTTATTTATTAACCTTCAAGTAATCCAAAAAATAGAAAAAAGTTTTTGCTTATTATTTTATAAAAATCATATATTTGCTTCCATAAATAGTTTTGAAATAATATATTCATTTTTAAGCTTTAAAATAATTATTGATTCAAAACTATTTATGAAAGTAAAGATATGATTTTTATAAAATAATAAGCAAAAACTTTTTTCTATTTTTTTGGATTGCTTCAGGATTAATAAAATAAAAATATGTTCTTTTTTAATGCAACATGGCCTCAATAAGGGTATTTTCGACATTAAGGGGTTTTTGTTAATTGTTTGATCATTCAAAGGGTGAGACCGTTATTTGGACAAATTACAGGGATTGATTGGTAATATGGTCAAACTCAGGGGAGGTAAATGTAATTAACCCATATAATTAAGGATTTTTAGGAAAATAATAATAAAATATTTAAATTTAATCAACTTTCTTAATTCTTATGCTTATAAAAAATTTTCTATAATTATGGGATGAAGGACTAGTTTATTTAGATAAAATGAGGTAGTTTATGATATAATACATTTAATAATTAAGTAAATGAAGAGTTGAATATATTAGGACTAGGCTGGCGGCGCATGCAAAAAACCCTAATCTTCTTCATTCTACTGCTCTCGCCGTCTTACTCTTCCGACGGCTTAGGCCATGGCGGCCCCTTGGCCCATGGCCACGCCCTCAACACAGGATCTGCATGGGGTGTCCAAGTCCTTTGCGGATGTTACGGCTGGGAGTGGGACGCTGGTCGCTCCGGACATCGGCTCTCTTGGAGTGCATGGGGGGCCAGCGTTTATTCTTTTCAGGACCAAAATGGCAGCATTGGTGGCTCCCTATCGCAACGCACTCACCGGCAGATTTGCATTAAGGAGGCCGTCCATAGAGGCCATTAGAAGGTTTGTGGCAATTTTGGGGCTCAAGGGTGACCCCCTTTTTTAACGAGAGAAGAAAATAATCTCCTACCCCAACCTATGGAGTGGCCCAAGCAACCAAGATTTTTCCTAAGTGCTCGATGTCATATGTAGACCATTCAAAAGTTTATGTGTATCATAGAAAGCCCACACCGAACACCCTAATTGTGGTCGAGTTGTACCAGATCAATTGGCCCATTAAATCCAAAATTGTTAAAGGAAGGATGTGTCCCATATCGGTTTTGTATTGCAGTGTTTTCATCACAAAAGCATTTCTAAATAGTAAAAGTACTTTTAAAGGTTTTTCTAAGAAAATTTTGTTTACCATTTTATATAGAACATTATTCCATGAATTTATGAGTAAACTTTTTTTTTTTCTCAAAAGCACTCTTAATACAATGCAAAATTGTGTGCTTTTGAAAAACTTTTCTGATTTAATAAAATCATAATAAATTTTGAGTACCTTATCGTAATATCCAAACTAAATTGAACCATGTCAATATAAAAAATTAAAACCATACATTGCCCAACATAGAAAAAGCATTTATGCAAGGATGCTCCAAAAAAAAAAATTTATTTGCTAAGCACTTCTTCTCTAAAAGCTCTGATACACAAAGTATTTCATGATAAGTCCCAACCATTCCTAACACGCACTATATCTGAAGGCAAAGGCAACTTTCATGATAAGTATTTATGCAACTATTAGCTATTGATGAGCGTCAATTGCTCTTTCAAGTCATATCTAGGTTAACAGGTGTTACATACAACGCAAATTTATTTTGGGGCTCGCACAATTGCACACAGAAAGGTGCCTGTCCTATGTACATTAAACAGAATCGACAGAATAGGGTTACAGAAAAAGACTGCTAAGAAAATTATCATACCCAATTATTTGAGAGTGTAAAATCATGAAACCTGAAAGAGGATTCTCCTGCAGTATCTCTTTCAAGCTTACTTTCTGAACCATCACTACTGACTATCCTGCTTTCAACTGAAGTTTCAGGCTGCAAAGGAAGGACCTGGTTTTCATTTGGATGTTGCCCGAGAAGAATTTCAGGTGGCACTGGGAGCACAGTTGGAGAGATGGCTCTAGACCTGATGCTACTGGCACTTGGGATACCTACGGACCTATTCCATATGAAGACATGAAGGATGATTGGCACCCTGGCATGGCGATGCAATGAGAGCTTTTGGCTAAGAGAAACCGTGTCAAAACAGCGGATGGCTCCTGATGGAGAAACCATCCATGGAAGGACCTTCATATTAGATATTCTTGACACCACCAAGAGTTTACATTCTCTGGTGCTTCCTTGTAGAGACTGCTTAGACCTGATCGTGATGAAGGTGCTTCATCATCTCCTTCAATAACCGATGAAATGTAGATGAATCCCTGTCAATTTTCAGTAATTTATTACCAAAAGTTAGCTCGTTGCAGCTGGAACACAAGATGAAAAAAATGGCTAATTCTAGGCCTCAGAGGCATTACTCCATGTCATGTGAAAAATGACTCCTGAAAGAACTATATATGCAAGGTATTAGTATTTTGCTTTTTTACAGTGCAGATGAAATTTTATCCACTGAAATCAGAAAAAGATAACATCCAAGTTGTTGCTTGCTCAATGTAATTGAGAAAGAAAAGGACAAGAAGCATTTAATTTCTTAAGCTACTTAACTGAATCACTTAATCATAGTTCATTCAAACTTGATCAACCTTCATTGTCATACAAAAAGAAAGGTAGCTGTCCCCCATTATACACTATTATGCGAAATGTAAAAGCCCGAAGCAGTTACCAACCTCCTCTGTTCTGCTGATGGCAAAGCCAGCTTTGTGTCATTTTCTTTTATTTTGACCTCAATTGGAACCTCTCCTCGAAGTGGTGAAAACCATAACCGCACTGCACGGACTACACCTATATCCACCCCATGGTAGTCTTCAAAACCGTATAGGCTTGTACTAGCAAGATTTGATAAATCTGACAGTGATCCAGCACTGACAGTGGAAGATGCTGTTTCTCCAGATATCTGAGAACAATGAATTGATACAAACTAAAATCGTCAGAGGTCAAAAAGAATAACTAACCCAACTGAATAGCATGTTGAACAAGTTAACAAGATAGTCAGGTGGAAAGTGCCAAAAAATGAGAATCATGAATGTTCAAACAGAATGGACATCCAATTTGGCTAAAGAATTTTGCGTTTCCTGGTTCATATGCTCTGAATACATGGCTTGTCCTGCAACCATAATTGCATGATTTTTTCGAGCTATATGAGTTGTTGAAACATCTTATATCTCCTGGGGCATTATCGCTAATTTACCATTTACCTTGGTGAGCAAGGACTCAGTCTGGACATTCATGAAAACAATTGGTACGCCTGATGCCTGAGATGAATTGAGCCATGCATTTGCTCTGGCAAGAGTATCCTCCAGATCATTGTAGCGGAAAGACACAGTGTCCGAGGCTTTTGGCAAGAGAAGCATCGAGTAAAAGCTGCTCGAGTTCGGAACAGACAGCATCTCATGCATTCTCCTCTCCCATGGATATGAAACATACCCATCTTGAAGTGGTGTATTGGCCAGTTCATTCACCATCAAGTCAATCCTCGAAGCTGCAGAGCAATAATCAGTTAAGCATATTAAAGAAATACAAAAATAAGATCTACGGAAGAACATGGGATGGCAAATGTATCAACTTCTGGCTCTTTTCGGGAAGTTCAATAACCCAAAATTCCTCATCTTTTCTCTCTCCAAGTACTGAGGATTGCAGATTTGTTCCAAGGAAACTAAGGGAGATAAAACCACATTCGAACACTTGACAATTTTTACCAAGTGTATACTTAATTGTAAATGAGGTTCGGGTGGCACTGACAAAGTTGCTGAAATCTTCGTAAATTTTGGCTTCCATGTCTATATACGCTCGGTAAAGATTCAAGTCAAATGTCATTCCCATGAAATGTTTATTTTGGGAAGGTCCTATGGCTCCTATGAAGTTTGTCAAGGCATATGACAAGTTTTCCAGGTAATTATTCAATTTAGTTATAGTAGGTTTTGTTATAAATGATTGTTTGGTAAGATTTTCCATTCACTTCTATTGTTTTAAAAAAGGGAAAGGCTTTCAAAACATCCCTCAATTATTTTTTTTTTTTAATACTTTTAAAATTAACTTACATCCCTTACAAAATTAAGTCGACAAAATTTGGTTCCAATCCAAAATTTTGAC